TTCTTGATGGTCACATTACATTATCGCTGATAGCGAATATATTGTCTGTTATAACAACTGCCACAGCTAAAATTAATTAAAGAGAGCAGATCATTTTCTACGGTACGCTGTATCTTTACGTAATGACGCCTATTACCTAGTGAGCTTCATCATATTGACCCGATGCATTTTCTAAACAGCGACAGATCTTTTGTCTGAACTCGTCACGTAGCGTTCACGGAACAAATCGTTCATTACCAAAAAGTTATAAAGTCCAAGAGGTGGAAAAATATGGATTTGTGGTTTACTCCCGTGCGCGCTAACCTTATCATTACTATCGCTAGAGCAATTGATTGATCTCGGTTGGCGTTTCATGCTTTGGCTGTATTCATTCTTCATTAGAGAGAGGAAATGACTGGATCACCTTTTCATTCTTGCTCCCCTCCCTTCCCCGCCAACTTTTTCTTGCCTTACTTACCTATCCTGTATGAGCTGATCTGTTCAATAGCGACCATTATGCACTGCATAATACTCCATTTAATAACCATTCTTCCGGTAACCGTACGCTGCTTTTTTGCTAAACTAAATAGTAATGATCTAGTAATAACTACTACAGCCAGCAATGGCAATAATGATCCTTGCGTCGAGCGATCCAGGAGGCCGTTGCTGATGGGCTTGTGGCCTCCTCCCATCCTTTTCATCTTCATCGAGGTGTAGTCTAGTTCAGATCTCAACAACAGACGAGTGATCACTTTATTAACCCCTCGATAAACGATTTTTTCCGCTTACGCCTGCTGATAATACGAGCGGCAGACGTCGGAGAAGATAAGCGGCAGCACTCGTTTGACAGTGGCAAATGACGTCGCTGATAGCAGTTCAGACGACCGTGTGTAGCTGACTGGCCAGCTGTTCAATTCGCGCCACTAAAAGGATAACCATTCAAATAATGCCAATTTAGACTTCGAGGGGCTTGTTTGATTAGCCACCAGACAACTGCAACGTTAAGCCTTGTAAAGATGGGCACTACGGCGATGATTCTGGCGTTGGCAATGATGACGATGGCAGAAGTACTGTTCATATATTTGCCTCATATTTCCCCCGTCATTCTGCTGCGCCGACAGCAGACAAGCAAGCCATTTGACAGCCGTACTATTACTCTATTCGTGATAATTAACTTGCTAATGGTCCCGTCTCTCATCATATGCAACGCATCTGCTGTGGCTGGTTCAGCACCTATAAACAGTTCGCTGCTGAAGACATGGTCGGTCTACCTAACACTGGGTACCTCTCAGTGCCCTGACTCAGAAGGCGGACGCTACGCGGGCCCAGAAAGATGAGCTCATTTGCAGATCTAGCTAATCGAAAATCACTGCTTGAAGCTATTAATACCGTGCAGCAGACTTCGTGTGTACGGCCGGTTGCGGCTATTCTCCTTGCACTTTGTTTATAAATATTACTATATTAGAGTAAAAAAAGAAATGGTAGAGTGTGCATGTTTGTTAACAATCACAGAACACTAGTCGCAATATCGAACATAACAGGCAATGTACCTTTTTTTTTTAAATGGGAGCTCAAAATACTTGTTCAGCAAAAATAATCGCGGACATAGAAAAATTGGGTCGACACTTCGATCGCTCTAACCCAGTGAAGATACTTTATCGTGACAGAACGTAATATGTGTAGTATGAATTGAAATGGCTTTTCGTATTGATGGCTCGCTTATAAAATTTATTCTACACATCTAATTTCGTTTAACCTAGCTTAATACTGCTCTGAGACCACTAGCAAGGGACCTTTCATACACAGACAATCTTTTTCCTGCTATTTATGGGAGCATATACCGACGTTTACAGAATGGGTCCTACCCACTTAAGTTAAGAATAATTAGGGTACACAACCAGCTGCTCAAATCAGTGTGTTACTGAAGACTGACGCTCGATACGGCACCCTTCAATGCACTCCCGAACTTTCTCAAAATATCGACTGTTCATCTCTCTACCTCTGCCACTTCACTTAAATGTCCAGACGTATTTGCGCTGTATTGAAGTACAATCGACCAATCCGACCTGTGGTTCTGATGTTGCTAGTGTCGATGGTGATGATAGTGCTATGGGGTAATCGTAGCGGTCAGGCGGGCGACGAGTAGAAGGATGGAAGGTGATTGCAGAACGACGGGGTAAAAGACTCTGGAGACAGCTACAGAAGAAGATAACGTAACGAGATAGAAGGGTGATGAGGAGAAAAAAAACAGAGGGAGAAAAGGCACGACAACAAATGACGACACCGAATGAACGGCCGTGAGCGAGCAGTTGACTGAATGCAACACATAGGAGTGCGGAGTCTTCGATGAAGCAGCTGATGAAGTGCCGCCGATGATCTTGTTGATGACTATGCCGACGACGACTATGAGGATGGGACGAGGATACCGTGGATTGGACGGCGCGGCCACCACCGTCACCGTCAACAACGCCGTTTAACGTAATGATGCGCTTGTGATCATTACAATTCCTATTGCCTGTATGAGTCATATGACCACCCTGTTGCTACTACGGCCATCCTATACTATTAATGATCCTTCAATGATGCCGACTATGACGAAGATGATTGTGTTGCTGATAATGATAATGCTGCTTTTGCTCCTGTCATTGATGCTGCTAACGGCGTCTCGTTCGGCTACCACTACCACTACGACTACCAATAGGAGTGTTACTTCTTCGGGTGGCGATCGTCCCCGAATAAGACGAGCGAGGAGGGCCTGAAGGGAGAAAGCAGAGCATCCTTTCGGTATCTACCTTTACCTTCTCGCCTTAGCCATGAACAGGATTCAGGCAACAAGAGCCCGCGTTGGCGGCAGTTGCTGCTGTTGCCTCAGCACCTTCCGCCGCACTGGCACCTACACATATAGAGATAGATAGATAGACAAGCCTTTCATCGCGTATCTCACACGGAGATAGTGCCTCGCATCATAACGCGTTTCGCATACATCACGCGGGCGCATACAGACACACGACGGATGCGTTAAGGTGGCGACAGCAACAGCAATAGCCGATGACTTCCTCGGGCGCCATTCACCACCTTCATGGGCGGCCAACGACTGGCTGTCGATTCATCTGTTTCAGTCCAAGAATGGAACGACGACGAGCCTTCGAGAGGGAGACATGTTGTTGGAATGGGCACAGGACCCACTATTATAACTGGTATCATATCGTGCTAAACTGAACCATTTGCCAGGCGTATACATATCATTCTGCATGAAAAGAAGGGACCGGCAATGGTAACAGCAGCAGCAGCAGCATCAGCAGCGTATCACATACCTAGAACTGGCCGAAGATCCATCGTGGCCCAAAAAGCGACGACGTCCGTGGCACCGACGTGAGTAGTGATGTGATGGGGCTTAACAGGAATGGGGATCATGATGATGACGCGCGTTCATGCCGTGTGCGCGATGCGGCGCACAACAATGTTTTTAGGGGGTAGATTTACCGTCAAACTGAAAAGGGCAGAGACGGAATCTAACGTTGTTGCTGCTGTTCTCGTTGTCGTTGTCGCCACCTTCGTCGTCGTTTGTCGCCTGGGTCCCGTACGCGGCATTTGTTTGCGAGGGAGGAGAGAAACGCTCGGTAAGTAGTTATCGAACTTGGTCGGTCGAACGGTTAAACGCAGCAGCAGCAGCAGCAGCGCGTAAATAGTTGTTAAACGGTTAAGAGCCTTTTCGTTTATCGTTTCTGGGTAAATTGCCTCAACAGCGACGAATTACTCTCGCCTTCGCCGCGGGTCGTGGGGCTGTAGACCCGATTGGCTGGCCGACAGCCCGTAGCATTGTGCTGTTGCTGATTTACATTGCTGCATGGGAAAAGGAGTCTGTTTGTCTAGGGTTCTATTGAACGATGAACTTACGATTCCTATGCATAGTGTACGTACAAGTATACGTACATATATAATGCACGTAGTGAGATGACAAAATGAGGACAGCCGATAGCGATCAACGATCCGAATTACCTCCTGCAGTTATTATTGACAACAAGTAATTAAACGGTATTTCTATAAAAATCAGTACTTTTAGCTGCCAGCAAGCGGTGTGCACGTGCACCCTCGATAAAATAAAAATTCGATTTGTGTTGATTTCGTTTTTTTTTTATAGCTATTGCGTAATAATCGTACCTCTATAACGCTACTTGTAACTAGATCGTGTAACGTAAATAGCATAGACCAAACTTCTTATCCTGTCTGCTGAACAAAAAACTGATAAAAACAGATCATGTACATACGTATCTATACAATAAACTTAATGCTGTTACTCGTTGTCCTTGGCGCCAGTGTATGTAATTATGCAATTTTGAGCCATTGTTGTTGTTATTATTATTATCACTAATGTCATCGTTCGGATGGAATTAAATCGACAGCATCACTCAATTGCTATAAATTGTGTTTTTATTATCGACGCTTCAGTAGTGCCCTATCGCCCACTTACTCATTATCGTTCCTCGCCGTTCCGCCCAGCTTGACTCATTCAGATTATTATCATCACGATAGCGTGTATAACAGCAGTACGTTTTGCATTGAGATGGCCTTTGGCCGTACGCTGTTGAGTCGTGAAGCATATTACACGTTCGTGTGCGTTACCCTTAGCTGTTGTTGTTACTGCCGCTGTCCTACAGACTGATCACTCGTCGTTTCTTGAATTTGTTGTACAAACGTTGTTGTTGTTGCCGTCGCCTCTCCTTTGGTGAGCATTGTTGTCGTCTTTACTGGCACGATTTCTCGACCAGCGCAACAACAATATTTATAACGGTGTCGCCGGCTTCACGCCGGGTAACTCCTACGGTTCCGCTGCTGATGCAGCTGCAGCTGCAGCTTCGTACCTACACAACTACTAAAACGGCATTGTTTTTGGGGTTGGTGCGTGCTGCCATGCCACGATGTCATGCTTATTGCTATCGAGCTGTCCGCTGTCGCGTGGTCTATTATTGCCTGCTGCTGCTGCTGCTGCTGTTGCTGTTGCTGCTGCTGCTGCTGCTGTTGCTGTTGCTGTTGCTGTTGCTGCTGCTGCTGTTGTTGTTGTAACGGTTGTCGTAGTCGCTGATGCTGCTGTACAACTGGTCCGTGAGCACCCCCGCCTCCGTGTTCGTGGGCAGAATCTGACCAGCATCATTCCGATCAAATCAGCTGGCATTGCTGCCGGTTTAAGTACCTCAATTTATCTTACCTCTTGATATCGGCATTCTCGTTTCGATAAAGCTCAGCGGTGACGAGCCAGCGTCGCCACAGACCTCACGACTACTTTTTTGTTCGTTCCCCTAACCCTGTGTAACGTACATATCAAGATATACACAGCGGGCACATGTATGCGTCAGATTATATATGTAACCTTATTATATCCGTACTAACAATAAAGGGTTGAGGTGTTAGGCTTCCTAAATATTGTAGCAATGTCAATGTCTTTTATAGTATATATTTAACTAAAGTTATCAATTGAACACATGCTTGCTAAGCAACCCAGACTATGACATTACATTTCGTAGCTGACTTCATCGGTAACATTGTTTGCCCTGAAAAAGGAATATGGCGGTTGAAATTAAAATCGGGCAAATCGTTTGCGTCGTTTTCGATATTAACGATATGAAACAAAGATGATGTAACTGACCGCAACGGTGGACACCGCGGCGATGGCGACTGTTCCGCTAACGCAATAGTTATTTACGTTGTGTGAACGTCTATTACTATTGCCTCTATGAGACTGTAGCTGTTTGTCGCTAAAACATCCTACTCTTGTAGGCGGACGGTAGTGACCTACTCAGCGTGAAGTGGCGCCATTTTATTATTGAAAGTTTCGTTTGTATGCCAAGAGGATCATCGATCGAACAAACCAGTAAAACTTGAGCCTTTTCTAGTCACTGTTGTTGTTGTTGTTGTTATTGCGCTATTTAGTGGTGTCCTCGCTGATTCGGTTGAATATGTTAACACTGGCTATATTTGTTTCCTTGCTACGCTACGGGGGCACGGCAAAGTAAAAGCTGTCTGCAACGGGAAAAGCGGCAACAACGATGATTAGAGCAAAAGTAACTTTGTCAGTTCAGTGGCCTTCGCAGAGTATTTTAGGTCTATCGGACTCGCCTTCGGCTAGGGTGCCGCTCTATGAGTCGGCTGCAAGCACCGCCCAAAATCACACCCATAGACTGTACCAATATCTCGTCTCTTCTGTTCAAACGGATCCTCCGGTGGTATCTTAGTCGACAGAAACCCATCTTCGGTGGACAGTCCAAACGCACAAAGGACACGGACGCACCAAGGGATCGCGGTAACAGTAACGGAAACGAGTGGTCGTGAAGAAGAATGTTTTTTTTTCTCATTCTGTCCTTCCTCTTGCGATGGCTTTTTTGTAACGTAGCCGCGTCGATTAGGCCAAGGGTGGACCCGGAACGACGGGCGATCTTCGCTCGCAGAACAAATCCAGTTGCTTGCTTGACGTAGACGAAAGAAGAGCGCTTCTGCATAACACACACACACACGCTCATACATAGGTATATATGTGTGTATAAAGATAGAAAGTCCGAAAATGGGGGGAAATATGAACAAGAGAAATGAGCGCACTCGGGTCCCCTTTTAACGGCCCGTTTATCAGCAACAGCGGCGGCGGCGGCCCTGGCGGCAACGCAAGCGAACGTCTCTTCGTCCATATATATATATGAATGCTCTCGAACGTCGTATAGAAGTGGACACGAAAAGGTAGATTTGCTGAAAGACAATTTTCCAAAATCGACATTTTTGTGTTAAAAACTAATGAAAGCGCCGAAAAAGACATATCCTTACATAGTGTTCCAGTAAGCTGCATTTACAAATTCTGAGTATAGTATTGGCAGAAATATGTCAATGAACCTCTGCCTGCTATTGATTCCGTAGGACAGATGCAAATGGTGAAAACAGACGGTAAAAACAAAACCAAGGAAATCTTTTAATCATTGACCATTGATACCACTAGCATATATCTGTTTCTCCTGTTTGAACGATAATCTATAATTTAATGAACGTGCTTCTTCATTAATCTTCATTGTACTAATCTAACCGGCTAATAATGAAATGCGTACCCCGCCGCACGAAATGTTCTGGAAAAGAAAAAGGGAAAATATAATCACAGCCGACCCTTCGCTTTTCTCCAAATGGCCGAATCGCGCCAACTAAGGCCCGAAACTAAGTGTTCTTTAGTTCTGTCGGCTACCGTCCTGTCGTATCGCTGTAGAACCTTCTCCCTGATACTGTTATCCCCACGCTGCTGCTGCTGCTGTTACTGCCACAGCAGCTGCCTCCCTTCTTATGAGAAGGCTAAATCAGTCTAGAACGACAAGAAGAAGCTTTTCTCTCCGCGTCAGCCGCGACTGGCCTCAGACGTCGAGAGCAGCAGAAGCGGCCGCCTTGTTTTTCTATCGCGTTCCGAACGCCGCGAACTACCTGGCCGCGTCGTGTTGCGTCGCTCAGCTTTGGCTCTGTCAAGAGAGCCTTTCCCTTTTTTGATAGCTTGCTTTTCTTATATCAACATCTAAAGAATTAATTATTTGTTGAGAAAAACCATCACTTGTAAAATTCATCAACGAATATTTAATAATATCTTTTTCTGACAAGTGCTTCTTACTAACGAGTGTTGTCCTCTTCCGATTTGTTTCAAGCTTAACCGCGAGACAACATATAGCGTAAGTCACGGTCTGTCTATTTGGAACAATTTCGATTACTAAAGGTAACTTCTTTCTGCGATCTCCCCCTCAGTTGGTTAGCATAATGGTAGCAGTAGAAGTAATAAAATAAAT